GTATAATTAATATATGTAAACAAATATATTTATATAATTAATATATGTAAATAACCGTATAAGCTCAAAATCATGTTATGGTTTCGGGACGGGACGGCCCACCCCTGCCCCCGCCCCCCGAAATTAAAACGGGGGTTAATCTTGTCTCCGCCTCCGATTTTTTTTAATAAATACCCCCAAACGGGATGTGGTCCTCCACGAGAACGGGGCCCTACGAGATTTTTTGACATCCCTACAACCTCCAAAAACACCCCTAACGCCTTAACCATCTGAACTAACTACAACTTGTGTTATTATCTCGCTAAACACATTAATATTATATGTATATATACACTATATAAAACGAAATTTTTCTAAAAAAATTATAATTCTGAAATTTTTTTGGGGGCATCCCAGGATACCCCGCGATCTATTGTGAATCCGCCCCTGCTAATGCATCAAACAACCCAGAAATCCGAAAAGGTGAATGTTAGAATTTTTGTATCAAAATGCATGGATGAATATCTAAATAAGGGAAAAGTAAATGGAAACCTTATCATCATTTCACCCAACATCTGTAATTGTGTGAGACTTCATCAAAAATAAGAATCCCTTGCAACTTCTACCATAGGAATAGGAAGGAGAAGGATGTATTCAATGCCAAAACGGTATATCAACAAATATGATACAGAGCTTAACTACTTAAAGGCAAACCAAAATGCCAAAACGGTATATCTTTAATTTGTTGGTAATAGGGCCAGGAGGGGTCTTGGCCCCCCCTGAATTTTGGGTTAGAAATAGCCCAATAAGTTCAAATTTTCGAGATATAGGCCCAGGTAAGTGAAAATTGGGCTGTGGCCCCTCCTGCCCAATACGTGAACGAGTGAATTGAACGGAACCCCAAATCCCCAATCCTCATCTCCTGTTCTTCAGTTCTTCATTGGTCCTGGTAGTCGTCGGACTGAGGAGCATCACGCAGTCACGCCACAATCACCACCGTCCACTGTGACACTGTCATCACCGCCACCGCAGGTCACCCTTGACCCTCCGGCTCCGGCCTCCTGCCTCCACCAGCAGACGCAGCAGCAGCAGTGCAGCACAGCAGGGCGCAGACGGCAGCAGTCAACAGACCTTCAGTCTTCTACTCTTCTGTCTTCTCTTAATCTCTTCTGTTGTTCTTTCTTGTATTCTTGTTCACGGAAGAAATTCAGAAAAATAAGTATGTAATTATGTATTTCGAAATTCCTTCTTTTCTCCATTTGCTTAATTCAGTTAATTGCTTGAATCATTCTGTGGTATATATTTTGGATTGCAACATGAAAAAAATAAAAAGAGTTCATACATAACTATTATTTGTTTGATGCACTGTGTATACTTTTAAGTTTTTAATTGCTTGTTCTAGGAATTTCACTCAGTTAAATGATTTCACACATTGTTGAATGTTAACTGTTCACTGTGTTCCTCCAAAATAGTCCAATTGCTTGTTCTTTGTCTAAATGAGCTCAGATTGTTGATTAATATGAATTTTTCCTCCATTTTCTTGTTGTTGCAATTTGAGAATCAAGTAATTAGGATTTCAAACAATGTTATAGGTTTTCTTTTGCAGAAATTTAAGTTAGTGGCTGATTGTGAATGAATTGTTCGTACATTTTGATATTTTTTTTATAGATACAATTATGGGCAAGATGAAAACCATTCTTTCTTTTTTCAAAAGAAGGGGTGATGATGAAGAAACACTTAATGAAAATCATGAGAGTTAACGTCAAAAAGCTTCAACAAGTGAACCACAACCGCAACACGGAAATCAACAAGAGAATGACATTTCTGAAGCCACACAATCAAATCCTAATGAGGTGGATCTTAAGCAACTAGAAAGAGATCATGCTAAACGAAAACAAATGTGGTATTATCCGGTTAATTTAAGAGAAGAAGTAAGACGAGTTTATATGACTTTAGGACCTTTCCAAATAAGTCTTAAAGAATATCATGCTAAAGGTTCAAAGAAACACCCTCGTAGATTCCAATATTTTTGGTTCAACATTTTCCCTAATTGGTTAGAATATTCTCCAACAACACACTCAGCTTATTGTTTTATTTGTTATATATTTAACGATAAGCCAAGTGTGTGTCATGGTTATGATGCATTTACTGTTAAAGGATTTGACAATTGGAAAAAAGTTAATGACGGGAGTTGTTTACATACACATTGGACAAACAGTTACATGAGTTGAATAGTAGATTCAATGATCAGGCGATGGAGTTGTTACGTCTTAGTTCTACTTTAGTTTCAAAAGAACACCCTAAAGTGATCAACATTGATCAGATTTGTCTTCTTGTTGAGAAGTATCATCCTGAAGATTTTACGGAGCAAGAGAGAATTCAATTACGATATCAATTGGAGATTTTTAATATTGATATGACAAAGAATCACAGGCTAAGTGGTGTATCAACTATTGCCGACCTATGCAAGGGACTTGTGGAAACTCAGAAACGTGAGACGTATTATTTGCTTGATCGAGTGGTTCGGTTAATCTTGACACTTCCAGTTTCTACCGCCACAACAGAGAGAGGATTTTCTGCAATGAAAATATTCAAGAACCGCCTTCGCAATAAGATGTCAGACGACTTTCTCGCAAACAATTTGGTGGTTTACATAGAAAGGGAAATTGCTGAAAAGATTGATTCAAAGTTGGTAATTGATGATTTTAAAGACCTTAAACGTCGTCGGGTTGAGTTGTAATTCTTTTTTTAGGTATTGTTTGTGTTTAATTGCTAAAAATTTGGTTTTTTATGTAAGAACGGTAACTTTAGGTATTTTGGTGTTTAAATGCGGAAAAAATTTTATTTTTTTATGTGTAACGTTAATTTTAGATTTTTTTTTTACTTTCGGCCCCCCAAATTATATGTTCAAGCTCCGTCATTGGTTGTTAAAATCCATTAAAGAGAAAGGTAAAAGCCAAAATGGTACGCACTTGTTACTTTCTGCAACAATTTTCCCAAATGCAGGTTCTGAATTTACCCAAAAAAAAAAAAAAAAAAAAACTTTGCTATAAATATACATTTCTGTTTAATCAAAATCAGTAATAATATGCTTATGTTAGTTATTTTATTTTTGCATGACTTTAACTTGATTTAGTTGTGTTTTAAAATTTAAACATAATAAGATATTGTACTTACAATTTCATAATCAAATAAAATAATCTATACATTAAGAACTTGACGTTAAATGTTTTACCCAACATAAAAATCAAAACATTAAATAAAATAAACCATTAATTACGAACAACAGTTTACCCAGTGGGAAAAAAATACAAATATGAAACATACTTTTACATATTTTTTTTATTCATGAAGTGGATCAAATTGCTCACTTAACACATAAAAATTTATTGGAGATAGAACATAACCAATATGAAATCTTTTCGATATGGAAATGAAAATATGAAAATTATTAATGATGAGACCTGAAATGAGGAGTTTACTTCGATTTTTGGGATCCTCTTGGACCACTTTGTCGTGTTCTTTTATTATTGGAGCTCGTTTTATGAAACATACTTTTATATATATATATATATATATATATATATATATATATATATATATATATATATATAAGTTGATCGATTTTTTTTGCCGCTTCCAAAAAAAAAAGATTTACAAAGATGTGATTGAAGATGAGAAATGGAAATGGCCTCATAAATCTGTCAGACTTTCCTACTCCGTGACAATTCTCTAGTAGTCAAGGACCTGATTTTGAAATGGAATAAGCTAGTTTGATTTCAACAAAATATACCAAGTCAAAGCTTTATTTGTTGAATGTGAAGTTTGGTCAACAATAAAAGGAAAAGTTGAACTATATATGGTTCCTAATGATTGGCATCTTTTCATTGAGGATTTAATTACAAGAAAATTTGAAGAAAAAGTTTGTTGTTAATGTTATAAAAGGGATTGCTTTGGCTTCTACGGTTTACCACATTTGGAAAAAGAGAAATGAAAGATTAATTAAAAGTAATTTTAAACCTACAACATTTTAGGGTCTAAACGAAAAAACATGTGAAAAATGGAGGTCGCCAAGTTATTAGAAAGTGAGCAAGGTCGAAGATGCTGATGGTTTGTGGTTTTTGGAGGAAAGTTAAATGGTACTCAAACTATAAATATAACAAAACTAGTTTATAACTTGTGGGACAGTTATAAAATTGATTAAACTTTCATACTATTAACTCAAAATTATTAATCAATTATTTTAAATAAATTATTAATTAAGAGATATTTTATAAAATCATAATCATTGATTTAAATAAATACATGAAATTATACCATCTTATAATCTGTATTAATTTTATTTTAATTTTTATTCTAATGTTATTAATTTAATGTAATTAAAGTGAGAAATTTAAAATTTGAAATTTGAAATGGTGAATCAATATGTTGACAAGTGACATAACATTAATTAAGAAGTCTATCTAATAGGGTGACAAATGACAAAAGAAGAATAAACTTATTTTTTATTAGAATAGAGAGATTTTGTTTCCTAATTGAAAATATATGTTAGTTAAGATCGGAATACTGTTTATTCAAAAAAAATGTCATGATCTTGGTAATGGACAGGAAGAGTTAATATTTTTTGTCAATATAAAAAAATTAATTGTGGTCCCAATTTTTTATTAGAATCATGGGATTGAATTTGGTCTTTAGAAAGTAGAAAGGGTACTACGAGTAAGAAGAATTTTTCCATGATCTTACTTTTTGCTGTAAAACGATGATATGTTCAAAGGGTTCAATTTTTATCCTTTGGAATTATAAAAAGTTTTGTTATTTATTACAAAAATTAAACAAAATATAGAAAGATGTAATTTATTTTCAAAATGGTACGTATACTTATGATACAGAGGTTATTAGACTTTTCATAATATCTTTATTATACAAGTCTTTATTCAATGGAGTCGATGGGTGTTATAAAAGAAAAGGCGATAGAGACAAAAATGGAGTAACAAGATTTTAGGAAAGATAAGAAAAAAGTTGTGCTAAATCAACCCTTTTGGAGGTTTAAATTACCTAAATTTTTATACCCATCGAAACTAAATATATAATGACTATTGATGACAATGATTATTAGTATAAGATTAATTAAAATTAATTAAATATTAACAACATCTAGACCTAGGTGAAGATGAGATATCCGACAAGAGACAAAAGAGATCGAGAATGTGTTCAAGTTCAACCCTAGATCCCGCTTCCATTGAAACCTGTCTTCCACCCACGATTACCAATCGCTGTTTGCCTTTCACTTAAATCGCAACCACCACCATCATATGCTTGAATGGAATCGCTGCCTTCCTGCGTTTCTAGTGTCGACGTACTAACAATCCGCAACCGACGACCCTCCGTTGAAATCCAAGTCTTCTCCACCTCACAACCCTAGCTCTACATATCGATGATTTTTTATATGACCATCATTCTCATCTTTCTCCAAGTTTCTGGGTTTTAATTTCTTGGTGGGTGTTTGGTTTTTGAGAAATATTGGTTGTGATTTTGTGAATGCTTTTGTGTACCTACATCGGAAAATGACCATCATATAAGGATTAGTTCAGAAAAAAAAAAAAAAATATGAGAGTTCTTGGGGATTAAGTGTCTGCAAGCACTATTACAAAGATGTTCAGATTCAACTGCAGGAATTAGGGCACCGGCAATCACTAATTTGGCACAAGTGGTGGGGGTTTTTATCAGGGAATGATAGGAGTAAGAAAGGGTTGATGAAAGTAATGGGATTTGGGGGATTAATGATGTTTTGAGGGAATTGTGTTGATGAGAAAGCAGCTGTAAGGAAGTCAGCACTTGTTCTAGTGTCAAAGCTAACAGTTCTTCAAGGTGAAGGTGGTGGATTCGATGAAATGTTGTTAAAGATTATGGGCATAGCCTGTTCTGATCAACTCGTGAGCATAAGAAAGGCTGCAACTTCTGCTCTTTCAGAGGTCCAATCTCTATACTTTTCCGTTTTTCATGATATGTCCTTGAGTTCTTTCTATGCATTTTGATGAGTTTTGGGTATCTGTGTTGCAGTTTATAGTTACCCTTGAACAAGAACATGATTTTGGTTTGTTGTTGTTTGTAGACATTCAGGAAGTTTTATGATGACAATGTGACAAAGGAGTGGTTACATTCTGTCCCACGTTTGGTAACAGACAACGAAACAAGCATCCAAGAAGAATGTGAGAATTTGTTTATATATATAAGAGAGAAAGAGAGAGCTAAAGAGATGGAGGTAGCCCATAACAGGGGACGAAGAAAAACGGTGTAAGGGTGTTTTTTTTTCCGAAAGAGAGATGGACCCTCTTTTATTTATAATTATAAAAATTATTAAATAAATATTATATTTAAAATAAAATGAAAAATAAATGAAAAACAAATGCATAAGGGTATAACAGACATTTTAATTTTTGGAGGGACCAAATGTGCAACTAAACTAGTTCAGAAAGAGGGTTTGGACCAAAACCAGAAAATGAATATCACAGGACGATTTTTTGCAATTTACTCTCTCTCTCTCTCTCTCTCTCTCTCTCTCTCTATATATATATATATATATATATATATATATATATATATATATAAACTTGTTCATTTAATATATATGTTTGATTTAGATAATAACATAATTAGACCAAATTAACTTTGAACTAAGAATCTAATTTTATTACAAAAGTAAAATTATATAATTAAGGTGAAATTATGACGTGAACTAATGTATAAATTTTTTGGTGTAAAAGTTAAAGATAAAATAATGAAATATTATGTTTTAAAGATAATATGTAAATAGAATCTTAAAATGGGAGCTCAATTTCAGAAAATAACAATAATCTTAATAATAATATGAAGTCGCGAATAAATAAATAAATATATAGAAATAGAATCGAATTTTACCTTTCGAGAACACCAATTCCAACAATAAAAGCTTAGGGAAAGTGCAGATGTTATGTGGAATGGCAATCTGCATAACAACATACAAAAGTTGAAGGTTAGAAATTTTGGAATGCATAGAGAGATATTCTAAACAGGTGAAAAGTCAATGGAAACCTTATCATCATTAGACCCAACACCTCTAGTTCTGTAAGGCTCCAAGTAAAATAAGAATCGCTTTACAGCTGCTTCTAGCATGGGAAGAAAAAGGATATGGAGCTCAAACTACTTAAAGGCAAACCAAGATGCCAAAATCCTTTACTTTTGTTGGTAGCTAAATGCCAAAATCGTACTTGTTACTTTCTCTCTGCATTATTTGTTGTATATTGAGCTGGGTACCATTTTCGTGTTCTCTCTGCATTAGCTTTCCCAAATGCATGTTCTGATAATGTCCATGTGGTTTGACAAAATTCACAAATTTAGTCTTTACTAATTTTTTTATGCAAATGGTCATTGTGGTTTGCAAAACTTGCAAAGATGACAATTTTTACTAACACCGTTAGTATTCAGCCGTTAGAGACTGAATCTATAAGGGTATTTTCGTTTTTTAATAAACCACAGGGACCATTTTTGAAATTTTTTTGGAAAAATGAAATAATTGGCTGAAAGAAGGGGGGAAGCCCGAAAATCATGGCCTATACCCCTTATATTACAAGAACCTTTACCAATTGAGCTAAATGATCACTTGGTTATATCTTCCTAAAACTGTTTTATATAATAACGAAAACGTTAATACATAAATAATAAATAAATTACAAAAAACAATTTTTTTTTACATAATTTTTTTTAAATAAAACAAAATGTATTTTAATCGTATTATAAAAATAATAATTTTTTACAAACAATTTAGATGTATTTTTATGTATTAACGTTTTCGTTATTATATAAAACAAGTTTAGAAATATATAACCAAGTGAGCATTCAGCTCAATTGGTAAAGGTTCTTGTAATATAAGGGGGTGTGGAGGTGGTGAGTTCGAGCCTTTCCCGTTTCTTTCATCCAATTATTTCACTTTTTCAAAAGAATTTCAAAAATGGTCCATGTGATTTATCAAATGCCACGAATTCAGTCCCTTTATATTTGAAAAGACGAAAATGCCCTTACAGATTCAGTCCCTAACGACTGAATACTAACGGTGTTAGTAAAAAGGGCCATCTTTGCAAGTTTTACAAACCACAAGGACCATTTAGATAAAAACAATTAGCAGGGACTGATTTTGTAACTTTTGGCAAACCATAAGGATCATTTTTGTAATTTTGTCGTTTTTTAATCATATTTTCAATAAATAAAACAAACTACGAATTAAGAACAACTTGACATGGAATGTTTTACCGAACATATAACATAAAATTCAGTGCATTAAATAAAATAAACTATACAACCTGAGGTTTGTTATTTAGCAAAGTGTCAGAGAACTTCAATCTATAGTTTAATTAACTTCTAAATTTTCTATGTATACAGGTTCTAATTAATTTTTTTAACAAGTAGAGTTATCCTAAAATGGTTGTTTAACAACCCAAATCAGACCACTTCCAACTTTGTGTTTTACTATTTGAATTATTTTACACTATAACTAAAATTATGAAACATTTAACCCACAACAATTGCAATTTAACACATAAAAGTAACTCTAAACAAACTATTCTTGTGGGGCATTGCATAATACAAATGCAAAGACTCTTGGTTATTTCATAATTTGACATAGCCTTCGATCATGGAGTTCCAGGTAAAGCAATTTCTTTGTGGCATTTCATCAAACACTTTCCGAGCATTATCCAAATTGTCACACAATATAGGAAGGAAAGAAACCCCTTTTAAGAAACAAGAGGTGTAACAGTTTTCCTTGTTTGTTCAAGCGATGGGAAGTGATGGTTTGTAATAAACGGGCATACATCTGCAAATCAAGATCAATTTTGTTTAACAGTTAACACAACTGTCAAGGGATATGGGTAGTTCGGTCTAATGAACCTTTGACCAAGACAGGAAGTCTTGATGTGTTTTATTTACAGCATTTTCGATATGTGGAATCATATCAAGTTGACCAAAAGCTTTAAAGTATCGAGCTGTGATTTATTTCCAAGAGTACAGGGCCGATCCTGATGGTGGGCAACCCGGGCGACCGCCCAGGGCCCACGACTCTTAGGGGCCCAAAATTTCTGAAATATATAATATATATACATATATAAAAAATAAATTTTATGTGTATGTCTTCTAAGGGCCCGATTACCAAATTAACCTAACTTTAGCCCAATGAAATAACCTCTTTTTATCTAGACTCTGGAATGCGTTTTGAAGTAACGCTAAGCAAACACTACCGTTTAGGGTGTCTTTCAGGAATCTACATCAGGTGAGAACCAATTAATCAAATCGACACCTCGTGAATCCTAATCGTTGCCTCGTGAATCCTAATCAAAGTAATGATTCATAATCAATTATGTCGCACGACTTCTTCCCTTCTCGTAGTCTCTTACCAGACTTCAGATTATAATCAGTTATGTCGATTGAATGCAAATTTGCAAAGGACCCGACGAATGAGATAAAAACCATAAGGTTAGCTATAGATTTTTTTGTTTGTATTTTTTCCTCTAATTCTTTTGTTTTTCAACTATTATTAGTTTCTGATTTGATTTCTTATTCATGTTTCTTATATTTTTTTATTATTTATTTTCTGATTTTGTTTGTGCATCTGTGTCTCAGATTGCTGGAGACTGGACTGTCAATTCTTTCTAGCTTTTACCTACGTTTCTTATTTTTTACTTAACAAGGTAATTTTTTTTTGTAGATATCTGATTCAAAACTCAAAAATTTAAATCCAATTCTAATTTTTCTGATGTTTTAGTGTTGTTTCTGATTTTATTTTGTATTCACGTTCCTAGTCATGGTATCTAATCAAATGATGAAAGCTTATATTTTTTTTTTTTTCTGGTTTTGGATGTTCTCAGATTTCTCGAGACTTGACTTTATATCTTCTACCTACGTTTTAGATTTTTTACTTAAGAAGGTAATATTTTTTTGTTGATATATGATTCAGAATTCAAAACTTTAAATCCAGTTCTAATTTTCAGATATTTGATTGTTTGTTTCTGATTTTAATTTGTAGTTGCACCTTGATTTAAATTGAATATGATATTAGGCTTCTACAACTTTGAGACATAAATCATATACCAAAAATCAGATGTAATCTTTTCCCATAAGTAGATAGTGTTTAACTATTGACAATCTACAATGTTTTCCAAAAAACATTTATCTGGAAGCCAAAAAAGGAAGAAACGAATTTTTTTTTGATGCCTTCAATCAAACTTATAAAGGGTCCATGCATAATTTTTTCAAACCATTAAGTTCGTCTAGTTTGATTGAAGAAAAACTAATTTGAATTAAAATGATACTAATTTCTCTTTTAGGTAATGTTGTGGTCATATTTATGTTTCTAATATTAATATTGATTTTTGTGGATTTTGTAACGATGTGCTTATTTTTAAATTAAATTTTATTTATTTATTATTCTAGGGGCCCATTTTCTCTTTTCGCCCTAGGCCCGCAAGACGTTTGGACCGGCCCTGCAAGAGTAGATGTGGCAAACAGAAATACTTCTATGCAACATTGGAGAGGAGGATTTATTGACAAAATTTATAATTAGAACAACAAAAGTGGGAAAGCGGGCAACTAAGGTTGGGGGATTTTTTTTTTAAATATTTTAAATGATAAGTAAATGGAAAATTTGAAAAATAAATATATTAAGATAAAAGATTTTGGTTTTGAGTGTTTGACGGACATGAATATAAATTAACATTCAAATTAAGTGTCGAAACCAAAACTTTAAAACAAAAAGATATGAACAGGTTTAATTTGGTTTAAAAGGTATATAGTATATAGTATATCAAAATTCTAAATAAGATGACTAATATGAAATATTATTACATTGCTTATCAAAATGAAACTCGCTGATATTTTGTATATTGAAATCTTGCAAAAGTGGCTCTAAACTAATATTTTCATCAAAAAAAAAAAATTCGAAGTACAAAACCAATGAAGTACGCTACATAACAAAATCAAATAAAAAATTAATGTGAAAGAACAAAGCAAAACAATTAGCAATTAATATTTGACAAACTATTTATTTTGATAAAAATACAACATAGGACAAAATTAAATAACAAGAGGAAATTGTAAATTTGGTCCACATGGTTTGCTGATTTCTAACGTTAAGTTATGCGGTTTCAAAATTATAAATTTCGTCATTTTTAGTAGGTTTGGTTGAGGATTTACCGATTTAGTCTCCTCATTTAACATCGTCACTATGAGTTAATTCTCTATTAAATGACCATTTTGGCCTTAATATTATTTTGTTTATTTATTGTAAAGATGAAAGGGTGGAAAAAGAATAGTCCTCTCTCTCTCTTTCTTCGAGAGTTGTACTTTTGAAAAATATATACCAAAGTCTAGTGGTTTTATAATTATTTACGGAAACATAGTAGAAATTAGAAAACGTTGTTTTGGAGCACGGGTTTCCATCTCTTTTTATTTAAAATAAAATTAAATGGACTCATCTTCTTCTCACATGCATTGATCTCGCCGGAAAATTTAAAATAGCTCACTGTTAATTTTACTGAAGATATTATTAAGAACCTCATGGTTGTAAACCTAATGGTTTAGCATCTATTCACCATCTTTGCACAGGCTGTACTCCATCCATTTCACCATCTCTCCACTACATATTGCTACAACTTGGTTTGGTCGTTTCTCTGTTTTCACCCAAAATCTAGCCGTTTAGCTAATCTTCATAAATAATGGATTTCAAATATAATCTATACACAAGCTTAGTTTTTTAATGCTTCTTACTGTCTTGCCTTTGAGTTTGGTTTACTTGCCAGAGACCATTATTATATGGCAATAATATACAATGTTCACTTGATATAATTCATGAGTCCTCTTTAGAAATCATGTATGAATCTAACCCATGTCGATATGGTGGATCTGGTATTTCAGTTACACCCAAATGAGCAGTCGGATATTGACTGTTAAAGCCGCCGCCAGTGTTGTACCCTAGAGCCCTTAAAGAACGATGCAGCTTTCATCTATGAGAATATCACTTGAGGATACATGGAGTTCATACCTTCAAGCAACAACAAAAGTACTCGGATCTGCGGCATGTTGTTGCCACCGTAGCAACCATACCACCACCGCCATGGACCATGGTT